GGCCCTTGCCCCCCACCCTCTGCCCCGCTCCCTGCCCCGTTTCGGCAAAGCTCTCTGGGTACGCACCGTGCTCAGCGGGAGGCTCTTCAGCGCTTTGTAGGCCTTCCTGGGGTCCAGTTTGTACAGATGATGGTTTGTGACCAGCAATCCGCGATCTTTACTTTTATAAAACCGGTTTATCTGCGAAACAAAAGGAAGATGATGAGATCGCACTGCGAGCGGCCGCCCCTATCGGGTATTCGGGGGGACAGAGGGGCGGTAGACGTGTAATTAAACTTGGGGAAGTCGCAGGGGCGCAACTCTAAATCATGCCCCCCCCACACCTGGGCTAACTATCTGTGTAGCATCTTTTAGTAGAACTACAAATCTCAGCCACCTGAGATGCAATTTGAATCCAATCCGGCCGGCCCTCCCACTACCACAGCAGGTGGTATATGTATAGAGCCGGCCCACTGCTTGTATCAGCGGCCGAGAGCCCTTGAGAAGAGTACTGATGCCGGGTGCTGTGATGTTTTCAGGATGCTCTGTACAGCCCCCTCCCCCGCAGTAAAAATGGTTCAATCGGCTCTTTCCACCCGCTTCCATTTTGATGAATTGTCGGATTTCAGCATTTTAAACTTTTTCCCGTTTTTTTTTGTTTTTCAATAAAGCGCAAATAACCGCATCCGGGAACAATGGCACGGTGGTGACCCCATGCTAAGGCGAGGGGCTGAACGTTCCTCCTCCAGTTGTCATCTACTTGATGGCACGGAAGTATCCTTAGAGAGGTGACTCATATCATCAACCTGGAAATATTGATTTCTGTATTAGGAGGCCTTTCATCCATCAAGTTCCAATGACCTGAAAGACGTCTCGTCCCCTCTCACTGGTGAGTCACTGCTATTATTTCACCTTCACGTCTGTATCACGCTAATTGCGCTCGGGCGTCATCTCATTTTTTTGGACCTTCACATTTTCGATAGAGAAAAATACTTATTTTCTGCGTTTCCCGTGGTGAAATTACGTCACGAAGTGTAACGGTTTACCGAAGCAACTCGGTTCATTTGCACATTTGAGACCTCAGCTGCCGGAGGGGGATAAAACCCAGAGGCAGTGGCGTAACAATCGCCATAGCGACCCAGGCGGCTGCTATGAGGCCCGGGCACAGGGGGGCCCCGCCAGGGCATCCCTCTGATGCCGTGTGGGCCTCCAGGGTCGCTATGGCATGGAAGGGCGCTGGCTGTCGGGCTGCGATGTAAGAGGAGGCGGGGCCTGTCGATAGAAGAGGAAGCGGGGCTCAGGGACGGCAGAGGAGGCGGGGCCCCCGGCGACCACGGAGGCGGACGGCGCTGACAGGTAAGAGGTGTGCAGCCCATCTGGGACCCTGCCGAGCCCACTATAGAGAGTCTATGGCGGGCTCTGCAGGGTCACTCTCAGATGGGCTGTGTGGGATCTCAGGTGGGCTCTGGCAAGTGGCATAACTAGCAATCACGGGGGCCACATACAAAATTTTGCTACGGGGCCTTGTGATTTCTAGTTACACCCCTGCCAGCAGGTATGAACAATCATTCGAATCCAATTAAAGTATACGGTAGGTCAGCATACAGTCCCACAATATACGCCCCTTATGGTGCGAAAGAGGTTGTGGGGGGTGGTAACATCATATACCGTATTTAGGGAAGAGTGGATTGGGCACGACCTGTATAATAATAATAATAGTGAGCTGCGCAATAAAAATACTATGTACTAATAATAATAATAATAATTATAACTTGCACAGCACCATCTAGTGGTGAGAAGGGGAAAAGCACGGATCATTATGTAGGAAGGAAGAGCAGGCAGTGAAAATTCTTGACCCATAGTTCTCCTTTAACAAACCTGGACTGGATATAAAACTTGGAAGATGGCTGGCTGGTATAGGTGACAGGATCTGCCCTTTCCATGTGCCAGCCAATGAGAGTTTAGCCAGAAATAGCGCTTGCTGGAGGTCATCTCCAAGTTTCATGATGAAACCAGCATGAACAGCAAGACTTCCTCCTTCTGTGGAGTCGCCTTAGGAAGATTTTCTTAAGATATCCAGAGGTTTTTAGAGAAGACATGAAATGCTCAGACATAGGGCAAGAGAATGAATACAGCCCAGAAAATGGGAGTCTCGGCCTTCGAGGTATAATAAAGTTTGATGGATTTTGCTGGAACTACGGACCAGCTACACTGCATAGAGAAAAGATTCCATAATGGAGAACTATGAGGTCAGTGTTTTCCCCCATAGTTCTCCTTAGGGTAACGGGAGGAGACAAACTAGCGTCCTCCCGTCACCCTAGGCTCAGTATATAGGGAGCTACAGCTCGCGGTATACTGAGACGCCGCAGCCGGAGCGGATCCCGACATCGATGTCTGGATCCGCCCAGCTGCGTGAGTGACAGCTGGCTCCGCCTATCCAGAGGCAAGTGTGTGTATTTCTGTGCACAGGTGAGGGCTAGTGGCCCATTTCTCTCTCGATAGTGAGGGGCAGGAAGGCAGATCTTTATGATGAAGCCGTGTTCTTGCAGTAATTAGTATTATTATTATTGTACAGGATTTATATAGCGCCAACAGTGTGTGCAGCGCTTTACAATAGAAGGAAGACATTACAATCACAATACAATACAAGATGGTAAGGAGGGCCCTGCCCCTGAGGGCTTACAATCTGAAAGAGGAGGGGCCAGTGATACATGAGGAGGGAGCTGTGTGGGGATGAATTGTATGAGCGGTCAGGTTGAAGTGGGATCGGCTTCCCTGAAGAGATGAGTCTTAAGGGAACGCCTGAAGGCAGTCAGAGTGGGAGATAGACGGACAGGTTGCGGTAAAGAGTTCCAGAGGATGGGAGAGGCTCTAGTGAAGTCCTGGAGGCGAGCATGGGAGGAGTTGACGAGGGAGCTGGAAAGCAGGAGGTCTTGGGAAGAGCGGAGGGGACGGTTAGGGTGATACTTTGAGACGAGGTCTGAGATATATCCGGGGGCGGAGTTGTGGACGGCTTTGTAAGTGAATGTTAATTTAGAATTTTATCCTTTGGGCGAGTGGAAGCCAGTAGAGGGATTGGCAGAGGGGGGCGGACGAGCTCAGTTTATGAAAGGTTGAGTTTTAAGAAGTGCTGCGACATCTGGACGGAGATGTCACTTGGTAGATGACCTGTCAGGTGATCACCAGGTTACAGTCATGTTATCGAGCTCCTTATTGTTGGCATGACGGTCGGCTGCAGCCCAGCCGAAGCTCCTGTACATTGCACTGTGTGCACACGCTGATGGAGACACTTCCGCAGGGATACTGGGAGCGCCGGCTCACGGGGCGTGTGCTAAAAATAGTCACCCCGGTGCAGGAATGCGCTGCCAATTGCTGGTTCATTGAGGGGTTAAGGGAAATCAGAGAGAAGTGGAGTGGGCCGCGGCGGCACCGGTGAGGCAGAGCGACGGCGGAGGGGAAGGTTGATGCAGATTCGTTGCGACACTTCACCTCTCCGCCAACTCTCATCCAATCTCTTCCAAGCAGAGAGCTCGGCTTCCCTTCTTTTTACTGCATTTAATAACCAGAAATTCGATTTCCCTGCGGTGTCACCAGCGATTACCGGCGTCACCGGGACCGGGAAACTAAAAGCAGATCCCGGAGCTTCTGCTGGCAAAGTTTCTGCAGAATAAAGAAGAATTCCGCCCGAAAATTTCCAAATGAAAATGTAAAGGCCCCAAAAGTGAAATGTAACACGGCGGCTCTTCCTGCAATACTCAGCACCATGGACAGAGGACAATACTCTGCACCACGGACAGAGGACAATACTCAGCACCATGGACAGAGGACAATACTCAGCACCATGGACAGAGGACAATACTCAGCACCACGGACAGAGGACAATACTCAGCACCACGGACAGAGGACAATACTCAGCACCACGGACGGAGGACAATACTCAGCACCACAGACAGAGGACAATACTCAGCACCACGGACAGAGGACAATAGTCAGCACCATGGACAGAGGACAATACTCAGCACCACGGACAGAGGACAATACTCAGCACCACGGACAGAGGACAATACTCAGCACCACGGACAGAGGACAATACTCAGCACCACGGACAGAGGACAATACTCAGCACCATGAAAAGAGGACAATACTCAGCACCACGGACAGAGGACAATACTCAGCACCACGGACAGAGGACAATACTCAGCACCACGGACAGAGGACAATACTCAGCACCACGGACAGAGGACAATACTCAGCACCACGGACAGAGGACAATACTCAGCACCACGGACAGAGGACAATACTCAGCACCACGGACAGAGGACAATACTCAGCACCACGGACAGAGGACATTACTCAGCACCATGGACAGAGGACAATACTCAGCACCATGGACAGAGGACAATACTCAGCACCACGGACAGAGGACAATACTCAGCACCACGAAAAGAGGACAATACTCAGCACCATGAAAAGAGGACAATACTCAGCTCCATGGACAGAGGACAATACTCCGCACCACGGACAGAGGACATTACTCAGCACCATGGACAGGGGACAATACTCAGCACCATGGACAGGGGACAATACTCAGCACCATGGACAGGGGACAATACTCAGCACCATGGACAGGGGACAATACTCAGCACCATGGACAGGGGACAATACTCAGCACCATGGACAGGGGACAATACTCAGCACCATGGACAGGGGACAATACTCAGCACCATGGACAGGGGACAATACTCAGCACCATGGACAGGGGACAATACTCAGCACCATGGACAGGGGACAATACTCAGCACCATGGACAGGGGACAATACTCAGCACCATGGACAGGGGACAATACTCAGCACCATGGACAGGGGACAATACTCAGCACCATGGACAGGGGACAATACTCAGCACCATGGACAGGGGACAATACTCAGCACCATGGACAGGGGACAATACTCAGCACCATGGACAGGGGACAATACTCAGCACCATGGACAGGGGACAATACTCAGCACCATGGACAGGGGACAATACTCAGCACCATGGACAGGGGACAATACTCAGCACCATGGACAGGGGACAATACTCAGCACCATGGACAGGGGACAATACTCAGCACCATGGACAGGGGACAATACTCAGCACCATGGACAGGGGACAATACTCAGCACCATGGACAGGGGACAATACTCAGCACCATGGACAGGGGACAATACTCAGCACCATGGACAGGGGACAATACTCAGCACCATGGACAGGGGACAATACTCAGCACCATGGACAGGGGACAATACTCAGCACCATGGACAGGGGACAATACTCAGCACCATGGACAGGGGACAATACTCAGCACCATGGACAGGGGACAATACTCAGCACCATGGACAGGGGACAATACTCAGCACCATGGACAGGGGACAATACTCAGCACCATGGACAGGGGACAATACTCAGCACCATGGACAGGGGACAATACTCAGCACCATGGACAGGGGACAATACTCAGCACCATGGACAGGGGACAATACTCAGCACCATGGACAGGGGACAATACTCAGCACCATGGACAGGGGACAATACTCAGCACCATGGACAGGGGACAATACTCAGCACCATGGACAGGGGACAATACTCAGCACCATGGACAGGGGACAATACTCAGCACCATGGACAGGGGACAATACTCAGCACCATGGACAGGGGACAATACTCAGCACCATGGACAGGGGACAATACTCAGCACCATGGACAGGGGACAATACTCAGCACCATGGACAGGGGACAATACTCAGCACCATGGACAGGGGACAATACTCAGCACCATGGACAGGGGACAATACTCAGCACCATGGACAGGGGACAATACTCAGCACCATGGACAGGGGACAATACTCAGCACCATGGACAGGGGACAATACTCAGCACCATGGACAGGGGACAATACTCAGCACCATGGACAGAGGACAATACTCAGCACCACGGACAGAGGACAATACCCATCATAGGATTGTCTGCGCAGATTGGACCAAGTTTATAATGATATTGTCTTGGTAGTGAGATCCCTCCGGAAGGTTCCGGGTCTAGAAGATTTAATTTGTAATTGCAGAGTGCAGACCACCCCCATTCAGAGGGCGCTCACCTTTCTGATGTGACAGGTAAACAGCACCGAGCTGTGGTTGTCTTTCTTCCTCAGAGTCTGCAGCGCTTTGGAGAAGGACGTTGCTCCGCCGGGATTGTCCACGTCCTGCCGAGAGCAGAAAGCGAGTCAGAGACTGCGGCCCTGTCACCGTTCACAGCAACGAATGTAACGATTGTGTCACCTCCTCAGGTAACATGCCGCCAGATCGGCCAAAAAAGGACATTATTCCTACCTAACCCCTTATTAGCCTTTAGTTACCCCTAATCGGCCCTAATTAACTCCTTCTTCCCCTTCTCCCCATAGCTATTCTTTTCCTGCTGATTTGATTTTTCTTCTAATTGTTAATATTAAAAAAATTAAAAATGATTCATTTTTTTTAGGGCTGTGGAAATGAACGATTAATTTCTCGATTAATCGTTAAACTTTTTGATCGATTAAAATTATTTTGATGGCTAATGAAAACACTTGCCTCTCCGCCGGCTTCCCGGGAGTCCCGTCGGCGATCCGGTGACGTCACGGACATCGACTTCAACCAGACTCCTCCCCCCAAGTGGCTCCGTCGGCTAACGAAGGGAAGAGGGGAGGATATTATTCCGAGTTGCACCACTCAAGCGGCGGCCATATTGAGTGTGGCACGTGAGATTACTAACGTGCTGTATTAGTGTGAGGAGGAGTCCGGTGACGTTGATGTCCGTGACGTCACTGGACTCCTCCCCCCTTCGTTAGCCGACGGAGCCACTTGGGCCGGTGAGTTTGACCAGGAAACTTTCTGCACGAGCGCCAGCCAAGGCATCGGCCTATACACATACAGCACAGCAATGACCTATACACATACAGCACAGCGATGACCTATACACATACAGCACAGCAATGAAGTCATACAATGAACTCGGATCACACTAATCCAGCACGTTATTATTCCGAGTTGCCCCACTCAAGCGGCGGCCATATTGAGTGTGGCACGTGAGATTAATAACGTGCTGGATTAGTGTGATCCTAGTTCATTTTATTACTTCATCGCTGTGCTGTATGTGTATAGGTCATTGCTGTGCTGTATGTGTATAGGTCATTGCTGTGCTGTATGTGTATAGGTCATTGCTGTGCTGTATGTGTATAGGCCAATGTAGTTGGATCTGTATCTGCGTTATAATTCATCTAAATAAATCGATTAAAAAAAATTCCATCAATCGAACACGAAAATTTTAATCATTACCAGCCCTAATTTTTTTGTTTATTGTCGCTCTAAAAAAAAAGTGCAAAATTAGAAGAAATGTTTTTTTTTTCTTGTAAAGATCAATTGGTAATGGATAAGAAGGGAAAGGAGGACACGGGGAATGCAAAATATCAGCAGAAAAGACTTCCGCTTTCATTTTATTATTTCACTTTTTGTTACTGTTTGTTTTTTTATCTTCCTGTGAACAAAAAAAAGTAGCGTAATGATTTTAATGAAGGGGCACGGGAACAGGTCCAGGACGGGTGAAAGGAGCTTCTGTAACCCATCAATGCTCAATACACCCCTAAGAACCACCAAAAGCTACCTATTGACTGCAATGCATTTGACAAAATTGGCGCAAATTTACCAAAATCTCCGAATCTTTGCTGAAATTTTTGGGGGAATGAAAACTCTCAATTTCTCTCATCTTCGGTCTACTCACACAAGCTAGATAATTCTGTTTCCATGGCCGATGGTAGCCGACGTCTCTCCGCAGGTCCTGCAGCGCCTCCATGGCGCACACCTTGCACTTAATCTGCAACATTTCTGACGGCGGGATGTTCTTCACTATCTTCCGAGCTCGCCATCTGCAGAAGAGGAAGGACAGACATGACACGGATACACAGCAACACAAGGGAGGCTCTGCAAGGAAGCTGCGCATAAGTCCGGTCTTCCTCCTTCAAAGGGCATGGGTAGTGGTTTGCTTAGATCGCCTTTCAATATTTTGGTCAGGACTAAAAAATTAAAATTAAAAAATACATAAAAAAATTCAGACTTAAAGTAAAAATAATAATAAAATATTATTTTATAATTATTATAATAAATATACCCATACACTATATTGCCAAAAGTATTGGGACGCCTTTACACGCACATGAACTCTAATGGCATCCCAGTCTTAGTCCGTAGGGTTCAGTATTGGGTTGGCTCCGCCCTTTGCCGCTATAACAGCTCCGCCTCTTCTGGGAAGGCGTCCACAAGGTTTAGG